AAAGAATACAATACAAAAGTTGCAAAATAGCTGAGGTACAGGGGGGTTCCAAAATGCAACTTTTTCAATTTCGTCCTGTATCTCAAGAACGAGGCAAGTTATAAGAATTTTGTTAGCTGTATTCGTGAGTTTCACAAAAAGTAGCCAACTTTTGCAAAAACCGCAAATCTCTATTTTTGAAAATGAGTGAGATATCCCGTAAGGACATCGAAAATGGGACAGCATGTACATGAACAGGGAACCTTCTAGAATTATAGTGTTTTCGACCCACTTGGAATATTTATTATTCATTTCTCATTCTTGGTTCTATTTTAGACTTAACAATGAGTCTTGGCTCCAAGCTTTCGAAAAAAGTACATTAATCGCAAAATGGCCGATATATATAACTTAGTATTTTGTAATAATAACCGATTCATTTGTTTATCTAGGAATTTTCAATTTCAAAAACATAAAATTCCGATTTTGGATCCAGAATTTCCGAGACCCAACATGAAGGAAAATTACATTTACAGTTCAAACTAGGAACTTCCAACTTCAAACTCGAATTTTCCTACTAATGAGTAGAGCACTCAAAGCATAAAGTCAAAAGTATTGAATTCCTGATTTTGAGTTGAAATTATCAAGTTTCAACTCGGGAAATAAAATTTATTTCCAGTTACATGTTTTCAATCAGTAGAATAAATACTTTGTACAAGCCCAGGATTTCCAACTTTCCACTCTGAATTTTCGACTTGTTGTTCATGAGATGGAATTTTTTGTATCTCAGTATTCCCAGTTCAAACTCGGAATTTCAAAATTTTCTACTGATGGGACAGTATCATAATTATTGTAAATGAATGGAAAGACAACACAAGGCAACCGCGTTGATCTTTTCACCAAAATATCTTTTCAGCACCTCGAAAGGTGACATCACTGATCTCATCATCACTATCATTATATGAAATTAGGGTTCATTTGAGGGATAGGAGGAGAATGCTGGCAATATGATAGTTAACACTTTTGTTGGTTTGGATATCCTCTCAAATATTCATTATTTCATATTCTATTCTATATTCTTTCAGTACCATGATTAGTTTTGAAAAATCGTCTTTTAAACATCCACCTGAAGTGATCAATTCTTATTATCTGATTTTTGTCAAAAACGAACATTGGGAAATTAAAATAGGATTTCTATCAGTTTTTCCCTAAGGCTCAACTCCTCAGAGCAACGATTATAATTTGAATAGGGAATATTATTGCAAACGTCATTCAATTATCACGACCCCAGCAGTTTTTTGACTTGCAACAAACTGTCCTCGAGGTACCTATTTGAGTTCAAATTATATGTTTTTTACTGTTAGTAAATGCATGATCGGAATGGATTTTGCATAGGTATTCACGACAAACTTTCAAAATTACCTTCATTGATCTCCAGGCAGTGATAGAGTCTATTTGCAAATTACTCTCGTATATTTGATATGTTCCTCTTGTCATTGTTGGATTGCCGGCTCGTGGGTTCGGCTCCCCACGACCCACGACTGCTGACATTTTTCTGATAGCCTAAGAAAGTGTCTGGGATCACACGTTAAAAGGTAAGGCTTTCATCATTTCCTGCTCGCACAACAATTTCATAACAATTCAACACAATTCTTATTGCCTGGTATCCAATCCTAATCATTTAACCAAACCATCCAGTTCAGTGGGTTCCGTTCGATGCAGAACAGATTTCAAATAACCCAAAAGAAAGAAATCATTGGATGCCAAGTCCAGCGAGCATATTGGCTATTCTATTGGCACAGTTTCTATTGGTTCTCAACGACCAATCAATCCATTCGTTTGAAGAATTTTGGGATAGCCATTTTTCCAATTCCTCAAGGACCTCGATGATGATGATAATCTCAATTCTAAATCCATTGGCGAATTATATCGCAAGCAGAAAATGCGTCACCTTATTTCATATTACAGGTGAGAGAAATCACGAGATTTCCCAAACAAATGCATAAGTCGAAGAGAGGTACAATAGAATGGTGAGCACGGTTTGCCGGACTTTAAATTCATTAATTTTTCTTTGAAGTCATTTGAAATCCGTTATCCATAAAACGAAACCTACTCATCTGGATGGTTTGAAGAAAAATGAGGATTGAATGTCAGGCGATAACAATAAAAATATTTTCAAATGTGCAAGAGGAATTTCCAAATAGATTCTCAATTTTTTTATTCCATAGATATTCTCATGGACGATGCTCTTCTGAAATATCAACAATTGTTCCTCCCTTGGCAGTCCCCGCGAGATAAACCCGTCGAGTTGAGGCATCGCACCCCTTCGTGGTCACTTTGGAGACCTACAGAACATCTCTCTCCAAAGGCTCGTTCATCCAACGAACAGCAAGGCCCTGGAACACATTGCCAAGAAAGGTATTCCCCAAGGCATAACCTCCAGAAATTTAAGAACACCAATTCCTACCTTATTTCCCTTGGTTCTCACGATTTTCTCTGAACATCACAGGATATTTCTTTTCGTAGAATCCCGAACATAAAAAAAGTTCAGATTCTGCAATCACAATCATTTAGAACTTATTCAGTGTAAACTCTGTTCATTCTGTGTTTGAATAAAGTAATGATGTACCCTGACAGTTTTATCAAGTTCTGTACATCGAAGTTTGTTCATGTTCTGAGTCAATAACTGATCGATTTTATATAAAAATAGAATCATATGGATAACATGGGCTTCATTGTAGTATCATTTGGCAATGATACTGCGAATATTACGAAGAAAGGTGATTCATCTAATAAAATATCAGTATTCCAATATATTTAATCCCTGGAATTCCGTATGATCAGCCTAATGCATCAAATATGATGCTTATTTATTCTTATGGAACGAAACCTGGAGTTTAATGACATTTGACATTTGCCATTTTGCACAACTCCATATGAGAGTTGTTGAACTGCTGCACTGAGTAGCCCTTAACAATATTTTACTGAGGTGACCATTATTTCACTCTACTCATAGCAGTGAGTAAATGAACACAGCCCTGAGAGTTATCAGGGGTGGATAGTCTCAAGTCCACCCGAATATCTAGTGATAATAAATAATGATAGATTCAGGAAATCATTCGAATCAGGATAGTCCTACAAGGAACTGAATTTGTGATTCATCACGCTATATACTTTTGCCATCCAACCCTAGTTTTCACCTCTTCCTATTCATTTTTTCAATTTGCTGTGATCATTTGACATCTGTCAAAATCGATTTCAAGGTTGTCGGGCATGCAGATATATCGATCACTCAAAATATTTCATTTCGTTACTTCCAGATATATACACATCACCCTATAGAACTGCTAAATGTGGGGCATTAGTGCGTCGGAGCTCGATTGCTCGAGTTCAATGATAGCTAGAAATCCGATTCAAAAACGAATGTGAATGAGATAACAAGGTCCATAACTAGAAATTATTGCCGCATATACAGGGCACACCGAAAATAATCTAGAGGGTCGGAATCAATTTTATTTTTTGAAGCATCCCTGTGATCTTCATCCACTCCTATAGAATCGTTGACTTTATCCTTTCCGTATCAAAGTTTTGAATTTTGTCATCTGCAGATGCCTACCGAAAATATCACTGTTGTCACAATTATAAACTTCAAAAAAAAATAATCTCAATATCATTTATTGAAAAGATGAGTGACATTTCTGAAAATGTTTCAGGCTCTCAAATGATACAGGGTGGCTGAAAATGATTTTTCAATTCGGAACTTTTCGAAGTGATTTTTCTCGAGTTTTTCAAATGGAACACCCCATATATTATTTGACCATTTGATGTAAAATCGAAACACGAACATATTCATCCGAACATACATATCGATTTTCGCAACCATTTTTGAATTTTTGAACTTTAAAAATTGTTGGTTGGGTATTTTCATCGATACACATTCTAATCTGTTATTGAAACATCAAAAGTTCAATCAGCAATTTAGTAAACCAATTTTTTATTGAAAGAATCGATGTCAGAACCAAAGCAGACATGCATCGATCATAATTATGCTAAATATTTACAAAGTAGAGACGGAAAAAATTTCATTTCTCAATTATTCTGGTTTTGCTTTCAATGTGCCATGAATTTATGGGATACTTGAGAAATGCAAATTTTGTCTGTTTTTACTTTGTGAATAACTAGCATATAAACTTTTTTTGTTTGCTTCGCTTCTGGTATTGATTCTTTCTTTGAAAAAATTGGTTCACTAAATTAATAATTGGGCTTTTGTTGTTTCAATGACAGATAAGGATCTGAATCGATCAAAATCGCCAACCTATAATTTTCAAAGTTCAATAATTCAAAAATGGTTATGTATATCGATATGGATGTTCAGATAAATATGTAGGTGGTTCGGTTTTACATCGAATGGTCAAAAAATATATAGGGTGTTCCAAATGAAAAACTCGTGAAAAATCACTTCGAAAAGTCCCGAATTGAAAAATCATTTTCAGTCACCCTGTATCATTTGAGGGCCTGAAACATCATCAGAAATGTCACTCATCTTTTCAATACATGATATTGAGATTATTTTTTTTTTAATTTTATAATAATTGTGACAACAGTGATATTTTCGGTAGGCATCTGCAGATGACATTATTTCGACAAAAAAAAATCATAAATTTGATATGAACGAGATATAGTCAACGAAATCATAGGAGTGGATGAAGGTCACAGGGATGCTTCAAACAATATGCAAATATACAGGGCATTCCATTAAAAAAAATGATCCCGACCCTCTAGATTATTTTTGGTGCGCCCTGTATATGCGGCAATAATTTCTAGTTTTGTACCTTGTTGTCTCATTCACATCCGTTTTTGAATCGGGTTTCTAGCTATCATAGATGTCGAGCAATCGCGAGCTCCGACGCACTAATGCCCCACCCTGTATAGAGTTCCGCTACTGTAATTCGCCAAACCAAAAGTGAAGCATTGTGGGCCGCCTCAAATTTTTGATTCGAAATATTCAATTAGGAAATAGAGGCATCGAGGTCGCGAATAACTCGCAGCTACATTGTCAGTAATATTTGTGATACCGCGAGAGTCAAAACAGAAGTCCTCTTAGGCCATCCGAATGTAGCTTCGTGATATATAGATAATAGAGTCAATTTTGAATAACTTTCCATACCTAATTAAATTAATAAGAATCGTGTGTCAAAGATGAAATCAGACGATGATAATTCCCTGGATAGCTTTTTAGTCCTCGTTGGAGATTTTGGGAAATACCAAATTCTGATATTCACGTTAGTATCTTTCGCGGTTGTGTTGCATTCATCTATTCATACCGCCTATGTTTTCACTGCTCTGGATATCAGCTACAGGTGAGTACCTACTTAAACAAACTTTATGTACGACCAGGCGTAAAGTGTCACTTTAACGCCCGCGGGTCACTTTATCGCCAAGCGCATAGGTAACTCATATATAATAGGCATCTCTGATTATACAGGGTGATTCACGGTGGATGGCCTATTAGAAGTATCTGGAGAACGAGAAAATTGAGATGCTCCTATAATTGAACATTCTCTATCCGCCTGAAATATTTTTATCGATACAGTTGGTGCCACTTCTATCAGAAACAACTAGCAACTTCCTTATTTTAAATGAAGCACCCTGTACACTTTGAGATTCTTCCTGAAGAACTGATTTCATCAATGTTTCACACTTAGGGTCTAGCAGGAATGATTACAGAGATGAAGGGTTTTCAAAATCGAGATTTTTCAATTTTAGGATTTTTTTGTGTCGAAACTATTCTTTATCGATCGAAACGGCTCACATGTCCCTATCTTAACTTTCGATTCACTATCTACTGACATTTAATTGGAACAGATACAGGGTGATCAGAATTCTGAATCTTGAAGCACACTGTATTTTTCCAATTGAATTCCAGTAGATAGTGAATCAAAAGTTAAGATAGGGACATGTGAGCCGTTTTGATCGATAATCAATAGTTTCAACAAAAAAAAATCCTGAAACTGAAAAATCTTGATTTTGAACATTCTATATCTCTGTATTCATTCCTGCTGGATCCCAAGTCTGATGCATTGATGAAATCAGCTCTTCAGGAAGAATCTAAAGATGCAATAAAATACAGAGTGTTCTATTTGAAATGACAAAGTTGCTAGTTATTTCTGATAAAATTGCGGCAACACTGTATGGATGAAAATATTTTAGACAGATAAAGAATGTTCAATTATCAAAGCATCTCAATTTTCAGAATGTTCTGTTTTTTCGTTCTCCAGATTCTTCTGATAGGCCATCCATCGTGGATCACCCTGTATAATTCAGGACATTCATGTTCAAGTTGTGATGATTCTGTATCCAATATAACCATCTATTGATATTTCTGGGATGTGAAATGATATAATCGAAACCAAAATAAGTTAATTGATAGAAAATATTATAGTCTACTCCTATTTCGAAAAATTGACCGTGGTAACGTTGAGTTCATCAATGATATTGCTCACTGAAGCCATCCTTTCTTGAACCAGATCTTGTTAGCAAAATCAGAAGCTCCTGAGATGAAGTATCCGGTCGTCCTTATTGACTGATTTGGTACAAGCATAACTTGAAAGAAATACTCCAGATACAAAACCTATAGTGTCGGTGAGAGATGATGTGGCTGATTTTCCGGATAGGCGTTGTTAGTTAGGTACAAAAAAATCATATTATCGAACAAATACGGTAGATCAATGTGGTGATGCCTGTATTTTGCACTCTCTGGTTAACCTGCAATTATTCCACTCTCAGAATGTCGGCTCGGAATTTGGCATTTTTGACCGGCACGGGATTATTTTCTTCTTCCTGGACAGACGTACGCCAACACGGAGCTTCGGATGGCAGAGGCCAACGCTGCAATCAGGAGCTTGTATCCGCTATAATTGAGGAATTCCACGATGACTATGGACAACAAAGATAAACAAGCAAACCATCCACCCCACTTTCACATACGCCTGTCCGCGGTGTTCTGTAGTATTTCGTTCTCCCATATGAGAAGGCAACAAATACTACAGAATAAGGTACTCCGTATAATTACCAACGGTAACAAATACTCTAGAGTGGCGGATATGCATGCTCAGTGCCATGATCTGCCCCTCATCAAGGAGTACATATAGAAACTCTCCAACAAATTATACAGCTACCACATTAGGAACATCCTCCTTACTATTAACATCACAGTAGATATCAGGGCAGTTCATGGCCAGGATAGAAAGCACGGGCTGATTTACGAAACGTGCGATATTTTCAAAGAATCTTTGGAATAACCACCCACCTTCCCAATCCATCCCAACAGACTGATGGGCCCCAAAGTGCATGGAATCCAGTCTGTTACTCCCTATACATCCCTCGATATCCATCCCAACCTCCACCCACGCCCCCCTTTCCACAACCCAAGTATATGCTCTTCGAATTTTCAAAATTTCAAGTTAGAAAACGACAAATAGAAGAGACAACGCAAGCAGCAATCCGAAAATTTGAATTCTCGCTCGTCCTGAGCGATTATCACCCAATTAGCTACGGAAAGGACAATGTCCAATAGGACGTAGCTCTGATACTGCCACCTGACACACTGGTTGTATAAAGTCCGCCCCCCTCCCCTGAGCCACCCGTGGCCAACCTCTGGGAGCCGAGAGGTTTTCCCAGAAGGTTTTAATGTGTATCTATTTTGTATTGTTCTGTACGTACTTTATACCATACATGTTAGAGGATTTTATTTATACTAGTGTTAGTTTTGTATATATTCTAGTTATGAATGAATGGATTGAATCGGATTATTCTCTTTTTGAAATATTTCATAACTTTCTTTCCTCTTGTTGTAGTTGTCGCTCGTTACAAGTCATGCTTCATAATGATTGAGAAACGACAGAAAATAGTCAAGAAAACGTGAGCTAAGAAATTTTCCAATCCAAGAATTGAGTCTCATAGAATAAAGCGCCGCAGATTTTCGAGTCTGATACATCCAATTAAGAAATAAAGGCGCGAAGGTCGCGAATATTGCACCACAACATTGTCAGTATTATTCGCGAGACCGCGAGAGTCTAATCGCAAAAAAAAACACATCTATCCGAATCCCACTTTGAATCATTCTATTCTCAAATTTTTTTCGAAATATTTGAAATTGTAACAAAGATGATATTAGACATTGACCACTGCTTAGATAGCGTTTTGGTACAGATTGGTGATTTTGGAAGATATCAAATTTCGATTTTCGCTCTGGTCTCTTTGGCAGTTACTTTACATTCAGCTGTTCATACCGCTTATGTTTTCACTGCTCTAGATGTTTCTCACAGGTGAGTAATGAATTGAGTTTCATTCGTTTCATTTCTGTGAATGTAGTAAAGAGAGATTGACACATTTAAACCTATACAGGGTGGTTCAAATTAATGTACATCAAGGATTTGCCAATCAACAAACATATGAATTCACTTTCTCTCAATGTGAAGCCACGTTTTCATTTCGAGTAGGAAAAAGTCAGATCAGGAATCCATAGTCCCTGAGACAGCAATTGCATCTCTTCATAAGCAATTAGTAACAACAGTCAATCAATCATTGAATTCCGGAGAATCTGAATCTCGAGCTGAATCTCCTCCCAAATTGCAACAAACAAGCTTTTTTCGATTTATTCGCAGTTGAATTATTTTGTGCCGTGCAAATTGAAGGATTAAAATTCGGAAATTCGAAATTTCGTTGGTTCTGAAATAAACATCGATAAAAAGTATTCCTATATCCATATGTAGGTTGATATAATATCATTTATTATGCACAGGTTCAGAATAATTCAATTGCGAATAATTCAATTGTTTGTCAACATTTTTTAATTATATAAAATATCATCAATTCATATATGCTTACTAATCCTATGAGTTTCAATGATCATGCATATGGTATACTGAGTATAGTGAATTATACTATGAGATAATAAATCAGAACCGTATAGCATGCAGGCTTATTTGGACGGTCAAATTGGTCTGCAATCGATATTGAAATAAGAAAAAATCATGCCAATAAAAACGTGAAAAATCCATCAGTTTTGAAGTTGTTCCTGATGAGAAATGGTCAAGTCCCATCACATATTTTGAAGACGATTTCCGCCTAATAGTATGAATATTCAATGGTTAAGTATACCAATTTACACTGGATATCCATGGACACAAAATAGGCATCCTATAGATGTGAAAATGATGTAACATCAAATGCAACTTACTTTCTAGAGTTTCCTACAGTTAGATGTGCTCGATGAGATCAAGTTATTATGAAGAGCATTGTAACTGAGCATCAGATTTCTTGGGAAAAAGATGAATAAATGATTTCAAAAGTAAACTGACAATGTTGATTTTCTTTTCGAATGTGATGGATAACTGGATTCTCCAATTCTTCACTCAGAGAATAGAGAGAGATTTCATGTATGTAAAAAATAGGTAGAATATCGACTTCACATCTGGCCGAATTCATAACAATAACGTTGAATATATATAATGATTTATGAAGAGGCACAAATATTTTGTGCCTACCTGTATATTGAAAATGCTGTAAGTAAATTATAACACTATCAATTATGATACCTACAAAAGTAGTCAATTGAGGAAGTACCGTAATGATTGGTTACGATTCGAATTACACAGTAAACTCTCAACATAAGTATATTATATGTAAACTCAAACTAATGAGAAAAAAAATAATTACCTATGTTGACAATGAAAATTTCGCTTCTCTTTTTCATGAGACTGCATCATTCCTTAAAGTCCACATTCTGAATAATTTAAACTTATATCTATCGTGATAATTTGGACAAAATAAGATTCAGACTGTATCATGTGGATACTGAAGGGTGTTTTCAAAATTCCAACAATAAATGAAATGGTATCTTGTATGAGACATGGTGATGCAATAAATGGCGGATAGGAATATTTTGGAATATTTTCTAGAAAATATACTTTCGTAGTCTCTGACCTTGCCGAAAGAAAACACTTGAGTTAGATTGTTGAGCTCTGTTGAACGATTCATGAAAATTTCAAGTAAAACGTTGGAATTCAATTAAAAAAATCTAGTTGAATTCTTTCTTGTTGAATATTCCACTTGTTCTGTCGCAAAAAAGTAAGGTTTCTATTTTGTTATGAAGTTTCAGTCGACAAAAAAGAAGAACGAATGATACTTGTGTATTTAAAATTCAATTTCACGTGAAAAATATATACCAAACTAGGTAAGTACTGCTGAGCATTCCTGGCGATGACTCACCTTTGTATATTGATAAGTATCAATCTCAGCTTCGTTATGCTGTGATATTTATCAGATTCACCTAGCTGATGAGAGTTCGAAGTCTGAT